AAGTTTAACATAACAGCAAATGTACTACGTTTCGACAAGGTTTTGTCATCATCAGGTACCTTATTAACTGTATTTGAGCTGAAAAAAATATAATATCTAATTTTGATATCTAATTGATATATAATTGAGTTTGGGTTGGTAATATATCATATCGAACTTTAATATCTAATTTACAGTTAGATGTTTGAGAAAGCAGATCATTGTACATAAGATAAGGAACATTTTCTGAACATTATATCATATTGAATCAACACTTCTTGGTCCTCAGCTACACGATACGAGCTGTTGTACAAAGAAATCCAGCACTCATCTGTTACAATATACAGATTGGGACCTGGAAAGAAAGTATATGAATAAATATTCAGTATTACTTGCACATTCACACATGGGTTTTTGTGTTTTATTTTACATTTCTTACTAAGTGAAACACAAAAATCATTTTAGGTATCTGTGAGCTATGACGGTCAATCCCACTATTCGTTGTTGAAAGAGTAGCCCAAGAATTGACGGTGGGTGGTGTTGACTAGTTGCCTTCCCTCTAGTCTATTAACTAAATTAGGGCCGGTTAGTGCAGATAGCCCTCGAGAAGCTTGGCACAATATTCAAATTAAACCAAACCAACTTCCACAAAGATGATAATTCAAGTTCCAACAGAACAGTTGTTTGTCTCGGGTTTGAAATGTGAATTTGAATGTTCGTTATTTGCAGATTACACATTTACTTTGCTTTTATTAGAAAGAAAGAAAGAAAAATGGGAACAGAGAAGAGCTTATGGCTAGGACATTTACTAAAAACACCATAAATACTACATCCACAGAAGAGGGGAATCTGCTAAGAAGAAACAAAAGACAGGAACAAGCGCAAAATTCTTCCTTGGACGAAACGGTAAAATTTCTTTGGCTGAACGTATTGAATTTTTTGTGAATGCTTTTGTCATATAACATTTAGCCAGGACCAATCCATAAATAGGGAATTGGTAAACTGACCTCTGGTCATATTCTTCTTAAAGACTTATAAATAGTCAAATCAACCAGAAAATCCAAGGTTTAACATAAACCATTGCAAAGTCATATCTCAAGCATGTATCGGATGTTTATTACGTTATCACTGTGTTTGCTATTTCTATGTATACAACATAATATGTAAGAGCATGTTGAATATTATACATATGTGTAAAAATCTTCAGCTATGATTTCTTTTGTTTAAGGCTTATCAACATTTGATAACATTGGTTGAGGTCAAGTCAGTTAATTGTCGATATTACACTACTCAGATTTGCACTTATACTTAAAGTTAATTTCGCCCTTTTATGTAAGTACCTTTTGATTGCTTTTCCATCCTTCCTGTGTGCTAACTACTTGGCCAGTAGAGAGGGTAGGGAATATATAGTGCCCAAAAAAATATGCAACTAACATTGGAGGGTCTTATGACAGTTCTTGGAGAAACTCCATACAGATTTAGTTTTTAATTTTTTTATTTATTTGTAATAATTTCTTTGTTTTTGTTTTGCACTACAAGCCCTAAGAAGTTCTCTATCTTATCTTAATCAATAAGTATTCACTTTAATTTCCAGTTTTTGTTTCTTTAGTGTTTTGTTGATATCATCTTTCCCTAAAATTTGACTTTTGGATTTCTCTACTGAGTATCTATTCGTTTTTACTGTAAATTTTTATTTTTTGTCGTTTCAAATCATAACATTTAACCATCCTTAAATACTGACTTTTATTTTCCCACCCCACAGGCATGTAGATGCTAAGCCTCCTAGCTTACAGTTTTCTCTTGTGCTAAAACACCACAATATCATCCTAAATCAACATTGTCTACATGTATTCAATGTATCAATTAAGCTTCCAGTCTGCATTGTGTAGTAATATAAATCAAATTACCTGCAGCTATCTTCTAAACAAAATTTAATTTTACTTTTAAAACGTACACTCTAGCACTGTGCCCTTGCTATTACATTTTAGTCGAACTTTTCAATCGATAGTAATATACATTGTAGTAATTTTTTTTTAGTATTTTACCCATTATGTTGTGTAAAAACCAATATTTTGCCAGAACGAGGCATGTTTAACTTTACGTCTATTTTGAATTTTTTTGTAGAATTCTGGAACAAAGTTATACACACGTATTTACTGTACCATCTTTAATCTTAATGAGAATGATCAAGTTGTTGTTACCATCCGTTCAAGGCTGTGGATGGCCACTGTGGAGAAGGTAGGTTTTTGTATATTGCTAAGTAAATTCAACAAAGTCTAATCTCATAAGCTAAATTTTATCAAGAAACAAAGTAGTGTTAAAAATTAGAACTACTTCTATCTAAAACGTAAACGTTTAGAGCAATTCACTACCCATAAGTTAGAGTATGTTAATAAACCCATTGTAAGCATAAGCTTTGAATATCTAATCATGTACAGTACAGACTGTTGTTTTTATAATATTTATTTAGTAAACAGGCATTATATGTTTCACTGACAGCTTCTTTTACCAATTAATTTGTATTAGTTTTTTTCTTCTAAAGAAGTTAGTTTGTAATTGTATAGTAACCATCAGATTCGTAATGGTTGCTCCTCTTCAGCTCGATTACCTATCACAAAGGTGTTAGTTGTGACACTTTATTAACACATATTATACAATACTCAATGATTTCTAAAATTAACTAGGAGTGCAATTTTTTTTACCTGCAGACAGTAATTTGCCTACGTATTCTTTTGCACAATCAACTAAAGTCAGTTTATAGATGACAGACAACCACTGATACCATAAAATCACAAAAAAAATAGATCTAAACATGCACCAAATTCTGTATCTGTGTATACAATCTACCAAGAATTGAAACTAACTTCTTAGAACACAAGAAGAATTATTTTAGTATATGTACTGCCAAGGCAAATAACGTATTTGTGACTACTGTCCATACAATAACACTACACTACTGGGAAACATGGAAGTAAGCAGTTATTTCATGTTATACAGAAGTAATTAATTTAACTGTAGCTTAATTGATAATAACATCAGTTAAAAACCATACACCCATAAATTACAAAATTTTAAAACATGATTTACAAGAACTTTCCCTGTCAGTTCAAAATTAGGGTTGGTCAGCAATGATAACCAAACATTAGCTTTGCTCAAAATTCAAACAATCAAAGAAACACAAGAACTTTCACTAAGTTAACTCTAAGTGTTGTGAAAACCAAACTAGTTGCCAGTGAACAGATAGTTCTAAAAAAGTCGGTTTGTTATATATGCTAGTTTTAAAACTGCCTCATTGATTATGTACCACAGTACCTTAAATAGATAAACTGGATTCATGTTCTCACCCAACTGTAATCTTTATATTTGGGTGTTACTGTTTTCATGATTCAAAAATTCATCAACGTTACTTTGTGACTGAAAAATGGCGATTGTGTCGTCAACACACTGTCTATAATGAAATAGTTCAAAGTCAACAAAACATTTTTTATAACTATTATTTTCATGATATCTCATGAACAGGATACTGAAAGTAGAAGAATAACCTCATCAACCTGGTCATAAATAAACTATTAAACATAAATGGGTTTCTTTTATTTCAAAAGACATCAACTAAGCAAAACAACTGGTTACCCAATTTGTTTATTTTATCTGAAGAGAAGAAAGTTAACTCATCATATAAATTAACAGTTTCTTACAATGATAAATTGGTGTAGAGAGGACTTTATATCAGTATTCATTGTATGGACATTGTCATTACATTTCAAATTCTACAAATAATTAAAATAACTTAAAATTCTCAGTGACAACAAATTCGTTACTTGTGTATTGTTGAAAAGCTATATTAAAATTATATTACAACTTGTGATTGATAACTGCCAATAATAAAAACTATAGGTGTAACAAGAAAATTCAATTTGTAAATTTTAAGCAACCCTTGCATTATTGTAGCAAGTGGTTTAGTTTATTTATAAATATTTTCATATATATAAGTTTGTCTTTCTTTAATTGCAACAGATACTTTTGTAACTATTTTTCTCGTAAATGTTGAATGTTTGTTAATTTCCAGAATTTTCTGTTATTTTCTATTTATGTAGTTAGTCTTACTAATGTAATCACTTTTTTTACTTACAATTTTATTTTCTTTAGTTTTGTTATAACTAAATCAATGTATTTTCCATGTTCAAGAAAAGCTTCATGTAGGTTAGGAAATTCCTTTCCAAAATTATAATAATGAAAAAGAAGACAATGCAAAACCATTAACATAAGTTCTCACTAAATCAAATGTCTTATCAGGAGATATAGAATAATCTTTCAATGTTTTAAAACAAATATCAAAGAAAGATAAATTACTAAGAAGTTGCTTTATCTTGGTTTAAGTCTGAAAGATAAACCTATGCACTAATTCTCTCTTTTTTTAAAGATCATGAAGTTAAATAGAAGAGAAACTTACAAATAGTCTCACCTGGTTTTGTTCAGAAACAAATACCCATGATTAGCAGAACAAAGTCAATTCAGTTTTATCTCTACACTATGATAAAAAAAATACTGTAATTATTATTTTTTAGCATTTTAAATAAATGAAACACTTAAGAAATTGAGTGATTTGGTTGTAAATTCAGAGATTTAAATAACTTGTATTTGAAACTAATCTAATATTTCATATAAAGAAGTATAAATGCACTTGAGAATTAATATTAGTAGTCTTGCATTGTCTTCCTTGAATAATTATGTTTATTGAAATGAATATTTCATATCTCATCTCCAGAAGAATATAAAGCTGCTATTGAACTTGGAAAGCATATAGATCTAGTTATAATAAAGCCAGACAAAGGTAATAAAATAGATTATATTTATAAGGTTAACTACATAATAGAAGATAAAATAAAATTTGTATATTTAAACAATGATCCAATACATACTTAGAAATAAAGTTACAAAAATATCTGTTAAAATTATATTCGTTAGAAATTAAACCAGTTATTTCTCTTACTGTATGGCTTGTTTAAAATTCACAAACTGGATTGCCATGTGAGGCAAAAAGGATCCAAATATTGGCAGTTATAATCATAAATTGTCATGTTTTTTATGAAGCAAAAATTCAAGAAAACAAAAGTTACAATTGTACTGTCAAAAACAGTCTTCTAGCTGTTTACAAAATGTAAAATTTAATAATAATGTATATAGAATCTGTTTAAATGTATAATCTCTACACTATAACATGTCATTATGTTTTCCCATCTTCAGGTATAGTAACTGGATTATATAAGCATATGTTTTCCATGGTTGTATATTTTGCAGTGAAATAATCACATTTTTTGGTTTTGTTCTTTCAGGTTGAGTCAAAGCTCGTACCCGTTATGGCTAATCATTTCTCGACTTATCATAAAAAGTAATAATTGGAAAAAGATTAATTTTCAGTCACAAAATTATGTTAAGGAATACTTGCAATGTTTAAACATTAAGGGTCCATATATAAAGCTTACAGTTGAATGCGGACATGAATTCAGTGTGACTTTTTCGTATATTTTAGAACATAATTGACATGGTGTTTTAAAGTGAGTGACGTCATAAACAAATTTTGTTTTTTGTTTTTTTTTTCAAGACTATTTGCTCTTTTTTTGATAGTTTTAGTTTTACAACATTTAAAGTAAATTTGAATCTTGGTTATAAGATTGTAACCAGTTTTTTCTTGTTACATTAAGAAATAACTTATAATGTTTTGAAGTGTAATATTAACTTCCAATCAGAGTTAGCTACCTACTACAGAGCAAAATTAAAATTAAATATGGTTATTTATAATGATGATAAACAATCAAATATATATATTTCTTACGTTTTAATTGATATATATTAGAATTTATTGTTTTATCAGTTGGATATCCTTTTTGCTAACGATATTTTTGGCCAGCATAGGAGATTTACATTATTCATAAATACATATATTAAGCTCACAGTATTAAGCAAAACAGTATTTATAATGGAAGTATAATAATATAAAATAAACCAAAAAATAATAAAATTTGGTACACTAAGTATTATAACCAATACTGTTAATGAAAGCAACAGTAAAAAAATACCAGAGTCCATGTTACCTAAGGATCATAAAAACACTAGCATTGAGTTTCAATGATAGTAATGTCACTGAAATTTTGAACAAACTAAAGTCCTAAAGTTTAATGTGTCTAATAAACTAGTTGGAATAGTATTCTTATAAATTGAACAACATCTTAACAGAAAATTGGGTTCAATCCCAAATGGGATGTATCAACAGATAAATTAGATGTGAGTTTAAATATGTTGAAATTTTTATTTTTCATTTAAGGATGCCATTCCTAAAAGTAAGCAGTTGTTTGTCATCAATAAATTGTCTTATTATGACCTTCAAATAAGTACAATTAAACACAAAATTCATTAATTTCTATTGGAAATTTAACAATATTCTAGCAACGAATTATGGGTTTATAAGTTTTACAGTTTATTACAACCTTTTAAAAACTTTCACGTTTACTCTTTGATTCTTTGGGATATTCTTTAAGTTAATAGTAAACAGCTTCAGTGTATTGACTACCATTGGTTTTACCTACTTTTAGTTTAAGTCATGATTACATACAGTTAATATTAGCCAAATAATAGTTCTACATATAGTTTGACATTGCACAATTAGTTTAGTAAGATTAGTTTTTATAATTACTTTCTTTGTCACATTATCATCCTTTGTATATTTACATACCATGTATTATTATTTTTTATATACATTTGTTACAGGAAATAGTTAAATAAGACTGGTAGTAAAAAATGTTTGATACACTACACATTAGGTTTAGCGTGTTGGTTTCTTCTTATCACACTGTGGTATTATAATTGTCACATGAGGTATTATTTTACTGTTTATTTTTGATATTGTATCTTGGTAAGCATTGAATTTTTATTGTACTGTGGAAAAGCTGCTCTACTGAATTGACATGTTTTAAACTGTAACATATGTCTTGAACTGTCATAAATGTGACTAGCTTCTGACGTTATACAATAGGGGTGGCTTTCGTCATGAGGTGTGCTTGGGACAGCATGATTAAAATTTCCAAAGAAAGTTGCTTCTACCACGATGATTCGAGACAATAACTCGTATTTTTGGGTTTACTAAGTAAAATGTACTATATGGTTTATTTATATAGTTTAATAGTATTGGTTATCCTGGTTGGTTTATTGAATGTAATTTGGGTTTTATTTATTATTATAACACTTTAAATACAAAGAATGTTTTATATTGTTAGCTTAAAATTTGTACTTAGGAATAATCTAAACCTCCTTAGCTGGCCGAACCTCGTGAGGTATTATTGGGATTAAGACCGAAAACATCGTTAACAACATTTTAATCTTTATAAGTAGAAACGTCATAAAAGTATATTTAATTAGCTATAATTTGGGTCAGGATATTTTTTGTTTCACTGTAAGTACATAGGTTACTCTGATCAGAAATTATTATTATGTCATCTCCACCACTAGGTGGTTGTCTACCGATACAAAATAACATATTTATGATAAACCTTATAACTTTTCCAGTGTCGCAAGTCATATTTCTACCAAATTTAATGATGTTGTCATGATCGACTCTCTCGACAATTTTGTGATAGGTAATCGAGCTCACGATAGGTAGCAATTTGGATCTGAGGGAATCTGATTATAGTTAAAATAAAGCTGATCTTAAGTCAACTAAACTCGCGATATTACTTCTCAGTTTTTGAATAATAGTTGGTTAGGAATCTTATCTTTTTCATCTCAGTAGAACCTTGGATTTGAATTTTACTTATCTCAGTTTGCACTTCTTCGGAAATTTAAAAATGCTTAGTTCATCATGTCACTTCGATATGTATTTTGTAGATGGGGCTTAGTCAAGTTCAAGTGTCTTCAAAGCTGATAGCTCGAATCACCGCACTGCCATATGATGACTTAGATGTTGATCGTATACCTCAAAAGGATTTTATGGTGAGGAAAAGACAGTGGTACTTTGCTATTGGAGTCAAAATTAAACTTTCGTTTCCTGTAGCATAGTATACATTATCAATTTAGTTTTTACATAAAAAAAACCATACATAGATGATAGACGTTTCTCTGTCTTTTATATATTTTCTGATCAGATATTTTAGGATTGTTCGTTGCTTATAAATTTAAGTTTTATCCGAGACAGCATAAATAATGTATATCCTCCATTACAAGTGCATTTTCTGATTCGAAAAAATATCATCCATTTGGTACAATAAGATTTTAAAGGGTACTTAATTTATTTCCTGTGAACAATGCCTCATCTGCTACATTTCGTTAAACTTTCAGGTCACAACCAAGGTGTATCCAGACATTGTAAAGGAACATGGAGTTTTTCTCTGGTGGATAATTGTTGCGACAGCTGGGGGAATTCTGCTTTTGGCTCTGCTAGTTTGGGGTCTTGTGAAGGTACTTAGTGTGTTCCTGAATGTGTTGACTATAAGGGGAAGGTTAATATATTAATTACTATAATATAGTGCACACTATAAAGGGCAGGATATCAAATTACTATAATATAGTGCACTCAATTGTATCATATATTTTATCAGTAGATAATATTATACAATTAAGGTAAGGGACTCAACTTAGGTAAAACGTACAATTTAAGTGTAAAAACATTGTTAATTGCTACATTTTCTTTCCAAATTGACATAACCATCAGAGTGAAAAAAAATAATGGAGCTTAACTGTCCAAAGCTAAATTTCACGAGGATGAAGAAACAAAATGTACGATGGGAAAGCTGGTTTATAAAGAAGGAATGGCAAGGTTTATCAACAAATAAGAAAATAAGTGCAGATGTGTGATAGAAATTTTTGTACAATGGGATAATGCAATTTTGAAATATACATTTGGTTTATATAACCAAGATTTGATTTCATGGACAAGTTGTAAATAATATAGAAGAATGTGACTGTGGAGTGTAAATTTGGGTTTATAGAAAATATGAATATATTGTTGATAACTTGTATGTTAAAGAAAAGTGTGTTCATAGGTTATAAGTAGGTTTATGATAAATTATTTTGTTGTTCTCGTAAAGCTGTTATGTAATCATGAAAAGATATGAGTGTAGATAGAAAGTCAGTTATAAAAAGAATGGCAGAATATTTAGTTAGTCAATTGATTTCTAAAAAATTAGTATATTGTTAAAGTAAAGTTGTGTATTCAGAAAAGGTGTGGATGTAGATAGAAAGTGAGTTATAAGAATATTGGCTTAGTTTAAGGTTAGTAAATTTTATTTTAAGCAAAAGAGCACTATTGCAAAGTGATGTCTTTGCTTTAGTTTTAGCGCAAAGCTACACAATGAGCATTCCGCGCTGTACCATTTGCCAAGAATCAAAATTAGAATTTTAGCTTTGCAAGTTCGTAAACTTATCGGGAACAGCAAAGCGATAAACTTTTTTATTGAAAGAAAGAAAGATGTAACTGATGATTAGACAGTTAGCTTATAAAAGTAAAACATGATTGGTGAGAAACAACTGATTATTACAAGTGTAAAACATGACTTGTGGTGAACATGTGTCTTACAAAAGTAAAGCATGATTTGTGGTGGACAAATGATTATTACAAAAGAACCGTGGAACTGTAAAGAATAAGTGAAGTGCGTGCTGTTTATTCATCGTTGAATTTATCGCTAACAAGTCACAGACACGAACTGTAGAATAATCCTAAGCCCAACAATAACATAGTACATATTTATACTATTAAGAAATATAACTAAAAGTCTTTCTATTTGACATTTGGCAAAAAGGAAAATTATATATATATATATATTATTTTAAATTCTGACAATTGGCGAGCCACAGCCAAGATTATACGGTGGTAAACGGCGATAGAAGAAAACATGAACGACAGCGAAAATAAGTAGGCCTGCCTATATACGCACAACTGTAGTAGTAACGAAAATAGTGTAGAGATTAAAATTATGCTATATAACCATGTCAACAGATTTTGATAAATGGGTAGAAAGAGGATCTCAACATGGATTAAAAAACAGTGAACTACGAGAGTTTCTTAAACAAGAACAAGAACTGGAAAGAGAAGAACGGCAACAGAAGAGACAAATTGAGAAAGAAGAAAGACTAAACGAAGAAAATGAAAGGAGAAACTAGAAATAGAATGAATTAGAATGCAAATTGAGAAAAAAAGATAGAGAGGAGAGACTAGAAATAGAAATATTTGGACAGCTTGGGTTGGCTAGCCCTGACTCCATTGTCATTCTTGGGTCCTTCTTTCGGTCGGGTGAGTTTTGCTATCTCAATTTGTGCTCTTATTCCCTCTATTTCTAGTCTCTCCTCTCTCTCTCTCTCTTTTACTCAACTTGTATTCTCATTCTGATGAACATAAAGATGACATGGATGCTTTCCTTGAGAGATATAAAATATTCGCCCAAAGTCAGAACTGGGATAAAGGCGACTGGGCAGTCTGTCTCAGCCCACTTCTCACAGGGAAAGGCCTACAAATATATTTAGGCATGACATCAGAAGATGCCATGGATTATTACAAATTAAAAGTAGCTTTACTGGAACGAGATGAACTTACTGAAGAAGGTTTTATTCAAAAGTTCAGAGCAGTCAAACCCGACACTGGAGAAACTGTATTTCAGTTTGTGGCACGTCTGGGGCGATATTTCACCAGGTGGACTGACATGGCCATGTGTGAAAATAGTTTAGAGGGGCTGGCAGACCTATTAGTACGTGAACAGTTCATGACCACGTGTTCAACTGACATGTCACTGTTTCTAAAGGAGAGAGCATCAAACTATGTAGATAAGATGATCAACCTGGCAGAACAGTATATGGAAGCCCATGGAGGTAGTATAACTGGCAAGTCCAAGAATGTCCAGTTACATTTGAAACCAGTAATAGTTGACCAGAAACAGGAGTTAACCAAAGGTGATAGGAGGTTAATAAACAGAAGGGAGAAGAGATGTTATGTTTGTTATAAAATGGGGCACATTGCGAAAGAGTGCAAGTCCATTACCAGCAAACAACAGCAGAAGCCTCAACACAAAGCAGCTGGAGCCATTTACAAAGACAGTGCTGGTAAGAAACAAGAAAAGAGTGACTATGGATGCTGCTGCCAGATGAAAGAGAATCAAGACTACTTGTCAAATTTAATACAAGAAAGCATGATTGATCAATGCACGACAAATGGTCGGCTCAAATTAGCAAATGGATCAACAGTGCCAATAGTGATGGGAGCATGTGACAAATATTAAGATGTGCCAACAAATAATAATATACCAATACGTGAAGGCTATGTTGGGGACAAGAAAGTGAAGGTTCTACGAGATACTGGGTGCAGCAGTGAGAACCAGTCTAGTATTTGATGATCAAATGACAGGCAAGGTACGCTTGTGTGTGCTAATTGATGGGACAGTGAGAAAATTCCCCATAGTAAAAATAAAGGTAGATACTCCATATTATGTAGGAGACGTTGAGGCCACGTGTATCAAGGAACCAATACACGACTTGATGATAGGAAACTTATCAGGTAGTAGAAACAATGAGGAACTAGACAGAAAGAAAATTGATGAAGCATCTTCTGTCACCACCAGAGCTCAAGAAAAGAAGAGCAAACAAGACATCAAGCCTCTGCAAATGTAAAAAGGCGATATGCCAAGAACTGAAGGAAGCACAGAAAAAAAAACCTTCACTGCAGAAACTTTGGACAATGCCTGGAAGAAAGTCAAGCACAAAACAAAGGGGAAAGAGACTCATAGAATAGAGGATCGGAAGTGAGTTCTATATCGAATCTATCAAGGCAGTTATACTGGGGAAGTTAAACAGATCATAGTACCAACAGAATACCGGAATCTTTATCACTTAAT